ATTTTTGTATAGCGAGAAATTAGAGTTGGAAGAGATATTTACAAATAAACTTCAACTCTATTAGTTGAAGGGTTTTTTTTTCTTTTAAACTTTTTTTCCTTTGTCTCACCTCATGTTCTCAACTTCACCCTTCAGGCTAAAAAAAAATTCGCGAGCATCCGTTTTACTTTATTCGTAATACAAGATCTATGCGCGCGCTCTCGCGCGCGCTGATCTATTCATTTTCAATTAATTATCTTCAATTTTTTAAAATAATCGGTCTCCATAAAAGGACAGAATTTATTAATTTCACCGATAATATATATACATATGAAATATATATATATTATATATATATGACGTGAAAAAAAAATTTACCTCTGAAGAATTTGAAATTATGTCACTGAAGAATTTGAAAATGTCGCATGTTTTTTTTGTGAATAACTTCGTGTCACATATTGACCAATCAGATTTAAGGATTAGCGGTCAGGCAGTTTCGAGATATTTCGATATAAAACAACTTCACGTTTCGTTCATCTTTAGTAAATAGGACATCCTGAATAAAAGAATTCTGAATTTCATAAATTTTTCGCGTCTCGAAATTCAAAATTCATCTATTCATGATCTATTGCGAATAAATAAAACGGCTGCTTAACTTTATTCTTTGGAGTGCAACGAACATTAAAAAAAAGCTAAAATGGTATAAAAACGGCGCAAGGAGTATTTTGACGGTAAAAACAGGAAAAAATGAAGTTTTTCGTAGTTAAAGGGAGTAAAATCGATCGGGTTCGCGATTTTCCCTAGTTGTTCCCATATTCCGTCACATTACAAACTGTTCAATGGGTCCTAAGGCCCAGTGAAGACTTTTAAATTTCACCGACGTATCCCCTTCAGATGTTTCGTGCGAAAAAGGTAAATATTGACGTTCATCTGGAATTCATATAGAATGTTTATAATCACAATTGAATTATCGGTAATGTAATGTAAGAGTAAAAGTAAAAGGGCTCATACTCGAATCGAATTAATTCCTACATAATAATGTTAATCGCATCTTAATTGGCTGATAATTTCACACTAACTGAGTCGGACTAAAGAAATAAATTTACCACACAGAAATTGGAGTGCAAAGGTGACCATTATTCCACTAGTGGAGTATTGGTTGGGTAATATAGTGTTTTTCGTGGCTCACCGAATCCCTCCTTAATTCCTTTCATAAATCTGTCTCACGTCCTTAATTAACTAATCTATATTTAAACAAATATTTATACTTCCAAATAATTACTATAAACGACTGAAAAACCAAGAATGCGCCCAACATCGACAAGAACCAACCACCAAAATCAGCGAATTTTTGTTTGGATTATTATCAAGCGAATCTCAGAAATTTAACCCAACCTTCTATTCATCAATTATTTAGAAACTGCATCAGGTTTAGAATTACCCAGGGTCACGGTGAGGACGTATCGATGCTAGACCCCAAAAGAAGAGCCTAAACATCAACCTTAAAAACGTCCTTGGGCAATAGATTGGAGATTAGGATCTATTTATCCTCCGCCCTCCTTCAACGGGCACTGAATTAAATTCGCAATTAATGAATAGCATATATAAAATAATAAAAATAATTGGTTAATGAATGTGACACGTGTTGGAACAACTCCCCACTCATGGCGGTCTTTAAACCTATTTTTAATATGTGAGAGGGTTAATGTTGAACTCAACTCAATGAATCCCATCTTCTTTTTTCAAAATTTCCGGAAACAATTTAACCAAAGAATATACTATAATCAGTATTAAAGACCGTGATTTGCTAGACTAATCAGGATTTGTGTAGTTGTCGAGGATTCTAAGAATAGTGTTCACCTTATCAGGTTTGGGAATGAGTAAAGTGAAGACAAACTTACTCAATTTCTCCTCAATTACCTCCATCCTTACACCATATTTGCGGTACAAGCGTCTGAATTCCCTAAGTTCGTTCTATTCCTTGTATATGTGCACCATTCAGATAATTCACGTGTGTGACACTATGATTCGCCCGCGAATGCTCATATCGTCTTGATAAACCGAAGTATCCGGGCGAACAATCCGTATAGACTATTGTACCGAATGTCACATGTTTTTCGACGAGGGCAGTTAGAGTTTTGGCCTTACGATCGGGGACCTTGACAACGACTAATCGCCTCGATACCCTCTCGCGTAAGCCAAATATCCATCGCTGTACTTTGGGTTTTCGCCCTAGCTTTGTTTTTCTCCCACCATATCTCAATTCATCGGCCTCCACAATCATCCCCTCTCCACCAAGTCTGTTAGCCTAGGCATCGGTGTCCCGTGTCAACACATTATTGATTGATTTTATGATTAATTATGATTATAAACATTCTATATGAATTCCAAATGAACGTCACTATTTGCCTTTTTTGCACGAAACACCTTAAATCTGGTGTTCATATTGCCTGACTCTGACGTTGAAATTGAATTTTATAGGCGAAATGGGTAAAATTTCGAAGAAGCAGTTCCCTTGTTATGAAAAGGGTGTCGTGCGATATTCAGCGAAAGTCGACAATTACTTCTGTCATATTTGCTGGATGAAGTGCGAGGATCATTACAGGACACATTTGGAATCTCCCGAGCATCAGTTGAAGTACCAATGCTACCTTCGCTCGTTTATTGATAACGATGCTCCCTTTGTTACTTGCAAGCTCTGCGATCGATTCATTGGGCACAAGCTGATTTCTAAGCACGCAGTTAGTCATGAATTAATACCCTGGTATCGTCCTACGGATGAGTGTAAGATTTTGTACGAAAATTTTGTCTCCAAACATGAAGAGGAGTATTATTGTCACATTTGTGGGTTGAAATTTTTACACTGGTATGTGGCTGTTTGTCATACGGATGAGGTGCTACACAAACGCCTTCTTAAATTGAGAATAAAACAGCCAGAAGAGAATAACAATAATAAATTGAGCTTCCCAGGATCTTTTCATGAGATCATCATTAGTAACTGCATTTTTCCGATGTCAGAGGAGACCTCGATCTGCGTTTTATGTGATAAACAATTCCAATTCAGTATGAGACATACTGGAGAGGAGAATCACATAAAAAACAAAAAGAAATTTTTGATGGAGTTGAAGTTGAATCCAGTTCACATTCCCAAATTCATTGATGATTTAGACCGCAATTCTAGAATTTTAAATAAGAATAATAAGAATAAAAATGTGGAAAAATCGGCAAATGATGGCAAGATTAACAAGATTGTTTCTTCTTGCGAACTTTGTAATCGTCTTGTCGAGGGGGAAAGTATTGATGAACACGTGATGATGAATAAAGCCCATAAGAGAAAGGAGGAGAAGTACCTGAATAAGGGTTTTGGCCCTAAAAGAATAAAGAGAAAAGTTGATAAAGTGGATTTGGTGAATTGTAACGTTTGTGAAAGGACTGTTGGGGTTTACAATGTTTTCTTTCATAATCGAACCACAGAGCACTTGGAGAATGCTAAGAAATCGTTGCGGATATCTAATAATGAGGAGATGAGTCCTAGAAGACTGATGAGAGACTTGATAAATGATTTAGCTATGAAGAGAGAACTTGAGACTTTGAAGAAACTGCCGAACGAGATTGTGACGTTGGACAGTGGAAATTTGTTCATTTGTACGATTTGCAATATTCAGATCTGTGGGGGAGAGAGTGTTATTGCTCATTTGAGAAGCTCGAAACACGTTGAGAATAAGGAAAAGGAGAATGAATGGATCTGTAAGATCTGTCATTGTATCATGGAGGGCAGGAGGGCGATGCTGGCTGTGAATAAGCGGAGGGAAGAGATGCACCGAGAGGAGATGAGGCGACTCGTTGACATGGCTGTGATGTATCCTCGTTAATAATTTTTTATTCTTGTCGGGTGACGAAAACTCCTTGATTGGAGAGTTCAAAGTTTAAGAAATTTGGACAATCATTTTTTCAAATTATATTTTGTACTTCTGCATTTTTGCGATGAATAAATAGTTTGATTAGTGAGTTTTTCATTGTGTCGAAAGTATTATAATTGTTTAATAGATGAACAATTCATTTTGAGTGTTCGTCGAGGAAATAAAGTTCGATTTTTCAGGGATTAAAAAAAAATGTATTCTAAATTTCAAGATTTTTTACTGGAATTTCGTTGGAATTTTTGTTTCTTTCTTTGGAATTTCAGCCGTACAGTGAAGAAAAATTTATTCCTTCCAGGAAAAACAGAGAGCAACTTCTTGTCCGAAACAATGTAATGTAAATATTGCATGAAAATGTTGAGTATTTACTAGTGCTAAAAAATTTACTTGCTATAAATCAATTGTATCTTCAGGGTATAGGCGAATAATTTCAAGACATAACTTTGGCACACACCATTTTTTTTAAATTTTAGTTTTTCTTTGTGATAAAAATTAGAATTTACATTGAATATAATGATTAATTGAGTATGAATAGTGATAGATAAAATGGATTTATATCATAGTTCAACTTCGATCTCGGTGTCCTCGTCATTTCCATATAATCGTTGCATCTCCGAATAATTTTTCTGGTCTTGTTTTGAATTTTTTTTCTGTATATCTTGGTCTGTGGATTTACATTCCGAAGTCAAGAGATGACCATGCTCTCTAGTGTGGCGCCACTTCATACGTCGATTTTGAAACCACACTTTCACCTGAAAACAATTCAATCGGTAATTAGTTCAATTCAAACTGAAAAATTGACTTAAATCAAACCGAAAAATCGACTTGTATTAAATCACAAAATCGATTTGAATCATACCGAAACATCAACTTGAATCAATCCAAAAAATCAACTTGAATCAAACCGAAATTCGGCTTAGCCCTTGCGATTACTCTATTCATCGCTTCCATTAAACCCTTGCGATAACTTCGTTTGTCTCTCCCGTTTGACCCTTGCGATTACTCTATTCATCGCTACCATTAGACCCTTGCGATAACTTAGTTCGTCTCTCCCGTTCGACCCTTGCAATTACTCTATTCATCGCTACCATTAGACACTTGCGATAACTACGTTGGCCTTTCCCGTCTGACCCTTGTGATCACCCCACCCCTCTCAGTAAATGTTGACTCAGCGACGAGACCATGAGATGTGGCCATGGACCTCCGAATTATCTTCAAAGGCCATGGAGATTTCATGTCATTAAAAAAAAGTTGAACTTCATGAATGAAATTGAACTTGTCAAAATTGTATTTTGAATACGAGGGCGTGATGACTATGCATGACCGTGGTAACAATCTTTTTTCCAATTTTTATTTAAAAAAAAAGATTGTTAATAAAAAAAAATCAATCATCATCATCGCCATTTACGTTTATGACATCGTCATTTTTATAAAAAATGAAGATTTTTTAAATTTTATTTTATTTTTATTCTATTTTATTTTTTTTTATTGGGAAAAGTTACTGATTTTTTTGTATGCTTTTCGGTGCTAAGATCTTAGAGAACCTAATAAAATGTTTCTGAATCGAAATCCCAAGATTTTGAAATCTCAAGATTTCGTTTGAGTCATTTTTACATTTTTTTTACATATTTCTATTTTTTATGTATTTATTTTTTCCAGAAATAAATGTGTAAAAATTGAAATATATCAGCCAGGGGGATTTTCAGAAAATTCCCTACCTGTGCATCGGTTAGACCTAAAGTAGCTGCTAGTTGTCGTCTGTCGGGTTTCGTAATATATTTCTGCAATGAAAATCTTCTTTCGAGACCTTTACGTTGAAGTGAACTGAAAACAGCTCTGGACCATGATCTCTTTCTTCTCATCCCACCGTCATTAGTATTTTTCGCATTTGGTGATGACGAAAACTGCACTGAAAATATATGTGATTGGTATTACGATAATTGATTAAGCCATACACCAAGAAAAATTATTTATTTGATTCCAATAAAGTTGATTTGAATCAAATAAATAAGTTTATTTAAATGGTACTAAATAAAGTTTCTTTTTAAATTGAATAAAAAATTTATTCTAAGTTTTATTTGTATTAACTGAATCTTTTTTTTACTATTAATAAATATTTATTTGATACTAAAATTTATCATCGCTTTGAGTTGGCAATAGAATCGAAAAACAGTGAACGAAACAGGTGCAATAATTATTAGGGGCTGTACATACATCATGTAAGATATTTAAGGGGAGGGGGGAGGGGGAATTTCTGTTCCATGGTTTCACTATCAAAAAGAAGATGCTGAAAGAAGGTCGTATATACTGGAGTGAAAAGTGTAATCAAAAATTGGATCAGAATGATTGTGGGGAGCTCAAATCGTCCAGTTTTCACGTTTCCTGAATTAGGTTCATACGATCTTTTTCCACATAGTCCACGAATGTTGTCGAAATACAATTTCGAAATTCTTCCACAAAATACATGAAACTGTGTTTTTTTTTAAACAAGAAAACTGTTTATTTGAACTAAATAAATTCTTTATTTGATTTTAAAAAAATCATTTATTTGAAGTAATTCAATTGTTTGTTTATATAAGTAAATACATTTTCTTCAAATAAGTAAACAAGTTTATTCTTTTGTAATAAAAATATCCTTGCAATGAGTAAAAAAATTCAAATAAATTTTCATTTCATTTAAACAAAAACATTTTTCTGGGTGCGGATGCCGATTCTGAAAAATGGTAAGGGCAAAATGACCGGTTATTTTGTCGCCTACTATACATATCGCGTGTTACCCATCGGCTTTTTTTCCTTCGGCCATTTTTCCGTCCATTGCTGCCAATTTCTCAAAGGAAATTCGGAATGATACGGTTCTTCAGACACTCGATAAATGACCGTTACGGCTATATCCATAGTTCATTACTTACTAAATATTGTATCGAAATTATCTACGATGGAGATTTCTTAATACTGTGGTATTAAAGTGGTTAATTGTTGATGAAAAAAATTGGGGAGTCAGGAACGTGATGATTTTTTACGGACTGTGAGCAGATAGAAAGCCGGCTAGTGTTTACGAAATTTGTAAACCTCGAGTGGCACTTACGATGTCGTCTAAACACATGCAGGAAGCACAAGAATACACTGTGGTGTAAATATTATGGCCAACTTTTCTAACGAATTAGGGGAATAAACAGCCCCATATGGTGATGTGTTATACATTCATTTTATATTTTAGGGTTAATTGTGGAACGAATCATGAAAAGGGGGTAATTGCTTTATATCTTTATTATAGTGAAGCTGTTTTGCTAATAAATTAGCTGTATGCTTTCGAAAGGAAATTTCGCGCATTTCTCTCTTATAGTATATTGTTTCATATTAATACATTAAATCGAATAATTTTTGATTTAATCATATTTATCGGTATTTCGTAGAAAAAAGTCTCATCAACCCTAAATTGGTTATCTCATCAAGGCAATGCAGCTGCTCGTTGTTTTTTTTTAATTTCCATAGTTTTTGTTTTAATCGACTAGTAACTGGAATAATAAAAAAATGACTTTTTCAATTGAAGTGCCTAAAAATGATAGTAGTTCAAGAACAATATAACTCCCGAAATTCCTAAATAAATAGTTTTTTTTCGGGCAGTTGCGATAGGGTTTTTCCTCGTGTGGAGTTGATATTGGAGCCACACGCGAGGACTAGCCAGCAAGTTATGCGACTAAAAAAACCCCATCGCAACTGCCCGGGACAAGATTTTTTTTGTAGTGATTTTCAAGATTCCGAGTTTGGAAAGTATGCAATATTAATTCCCACACGAGGAATCGTGAGAAGCAGTGTAGAAAACAAATTATTTTCAGCAGATGAATTATCTGTCCTCATGTTAAATGGACGTGCCCCTTACGCGATGTTGCCAGAGACACGCTAGACGCGTCCGGGTAGTGTGGAGTGAATTTGGCAACGCTGAAGTAGGGATGTGAGTGACAAAAATGACCGGTCACATGACGGGTAATTACCATGTCCATAAATCTGACGATTCGGTCGGGAATTCAAAAAATGACCAATTCAATTCTGACGATCAATTCTCATCTGTATAAATGACACAGAAATTTTTATTCGGATACTCGGTGTCGGCAAGGTTACTGGCGGTCATAGGGACCCTACGTCGCCACTACGGGTTTATGCAACACTAGATAACTAAATTCGTTCGGCAAGCAATTCAGGTGAAGAGCTGAGCAAGCTCGATGAGGGAGCCGGTGGCAATTATGAGAATTAAGGAGAGAAGGACTGAAGACGAGCCTCATCCAGCATCCTCCTAATTTAATATGAAGTTTTTGACCAAAAACATAATATATACAGAGATATCTATTTAATTAATTTTGTTGACGTTTATTAAGTTCATGACCTTATCATGAATGATCTCGAGTATCGAATTTATGATTGTTTTGTAATTCGTTCCAATAAACATTAACTTTGAATTATGAAATGCGATTCAATTCCTAACTAATGAAATAAAATAACCAAAAATCTGACCGAAAAAATTACCAGCAATAAAATGACCGTCAATTTGCATCTATATAGAGGAATTTTGGTCATTTTCTCAAATTTTTGAGGCTGGTCCATGACGGTCATTTTGCATGGGGAATTATCTCGGTGTCAGAAAATGGTCAGAAAACGGTCAATTTTGCCGGACCTGACCGAATTGAAAAATGACGGTCACTTCACATTCCTACGCTGAAGCCGACATCGAATATTATATTTGGTCACTAGGCCGAAGGAAACTTTTGTGGCAAATATGAGTTGCAGCCCGAGCCGAAGGCGAGGCCTTGGCTACAAACATACAAGCCAGAAAAGAGTTCTTTTTCGGCCGAGCTACGAACATTAGTAGATTGTGTCATCAGGCGATAAAAGTAGTATCTGACGAATGTGACTTTATAATCCAAGTCGAAGGCGAGGAAATGATGAATGGTGAGGAGGTGACAAATAAGATTGTAATCCTCGCGTCCGGTTTCAATTATAAAGTCACATTCGTCAGATAATACTTTTATCGCCGTGTGACACACAATATTTTGTGTTAGAATCGCGCTTCATCGGGCCTAGTATCATAATAGTGTTAGTTCGATACGAGTGAAATGGAATTTTCATGAGTGTGAAGTTGACGGCCTTTCGAAAAACTTTGTCACACATTACACATACACTGATAGAAAGGATTAGTTATTATTAACGAATGGATTTGGTTGAAGTTTAGGGGCTATTCGGTCTCACCAAATGTTCATTCGTTAATAGTTAACAAATGCGTATTTGAGGAGCCTTGTTTGACTCGACTTTGACTTTTCAAGTGAACCATTCGTTAATTATTAGCGAATATTCATTTGGTCATAGTCAACTCAACCATTCGTTAATAGTTGACGAATCTCGTTTGAAAAGGATAAATCAGTCTATCAGTGTACGGATCGTGTCTTACTAGTATATTTCTAATCTAGGGAAGTAAAATAAAGAAATGGGTCCCACGTGCGGAATTACGGCAATCTCGTAGGTAAGGATCCTTGATTATATCTCCCGTGGTTACAACCGTATTTTTCACCTTGGAGTAGGCGCAAAGTCAGATTCCCCCTCCCGCGAAGGGTGAGAAATTCTGTACTTTACGCCTGTCAGGGCCAAAAAAGGCATTTGATTATCATTGGCTCATACGCGGGGAAAAAAATCTAAAAATGGCAAGAAAAAAGCATGAAAAATTACTAAACAGTGCATGATGGAAAATTCGCTGAAAATCGGGTGAAATTCATCTGTCTTTCGTGTGCTATTTACCAACAACATAGAAGTTTCACTGTCTCGTTGCAAAAAATTGTGTTAAAAAAGGGAGAATTCATCTCTTGTCTCTTATTTTTGTCTTGACAACTCATCAATAGATTGTGAAAAACAATTTCGCTCTCAGATTAATTAAAATGCGCACTAATTTTTCGTTGATTTTCTCCACTGTGCATAGCATGAACAATCGATCACTTGAATTTGGACGCTTAAAAAGCTTCCATGCAGAATCAAAAAAATACTTACTGCCAATCGTAGGCCTCACTGGTGTTGGACGATATAAATTTTGGTATTTGGTGATCACACCCGTTGAGTGTGAGGTCAGTGACGGAATGATTCGCGATGTTGACACGAACTTTGACCGGTTGATGCACCCTTGACAATCATCTGGACAGGAGCACTGATTCACGTCGGACAGATGCGTCAGATACAGCGGATCATGGTCAAAATTACTAGAAATTTTTTTACAAAATCCATTGGATAAAATGCGATCAACACCAAACTTTAAAGTGGCTGACAGATTCGATGACAGTTGTGTATTTTCATCGTACTGATCCATTTCGACGAACGGGCATTATTTTTACAATTCACTGATACGTCAATTTTCTCACTCTTGTTTCGTGTACAAAATTCACTTGATTATTATTTTATTTTTTGTAATTTTATCATTAATTAGAATTTTCAACGCTATTCATGTGCGAAGCTGTTGAACGAGTTAGTTAAGTGATCTGTGACGGACGAGCTTTTGGAAAACGAGAAGTACTTTCATTTTTAAGTTGAACCAAGATGATGGTACGAGGGAGAGTCATCTATTCTACCCTGATTCGTTCACAGATCTCAAGTAGGCGTGGCTACTTTGAAGAATCCTCAAAGTAATCGTTCGGTTGAAGTGAAAATATATATCAGTCCATAATTGTTTCGTGGAAGCTATTGCGTATTTCATTTTAACCAATGTGATGAGTATCTGTTGCTCTGAGTCGATATTAATGGAATTTCCAAAACGAATGTTACATTAAATTTAATCTTCCTTGCCGAATGGAATGGAAGTCGAGAATTTATAAATTTTAGATTGAATAATCGCACAAATATTAAGATTTCAAGATATGTGCTTTTCCCTATTGCTAAAGATTATTCGAATTAATTCGGATGGAAAAAAAATCTAGAAAATAGACGGCTTTATTCCGGTTCACCATATGGTTATCTTCTCATTCAGCAACCGTTGTATACAGGCACTTAGATGTTTATTTGAGCAACCACGCTTGAAGCTGTTCTTCACCCACATGCCCGGAATATTTCCCCACGGTATATACACATCCCCGATTTTCTATTCGATTTTATTAGGTTTTAACATTTTCAATTTTCAATGGATTATTCGAGAAAATATACGGAGAGAGATTCCCCAGAAAAATTCCAGTGACGCATGGGAAAAGGGCGCAAAGTGACGGCCAGGGAATAATTTCAGTGCTGGCACGGGAAACTTTATTTTTCTCTTAGTTAAATGAATTTTTCACGGAAATCCCCTGAAGTTTTACTAGAGAGCCTTGGAAATTGTACTTTAACAGCATTAGAATTTTTCATAGACGGTCGATTGTAATTTTTCCAGTATTTGCACTGGAATTTTTCTAAACAATTTCTCTCCGCGTAGGAAAGTACACGGGGCGAAGGATACACTGAGAAAAAAAATTATTTTTGCCAAATATCCATGTGCTTAAGAAAAGTATTCATTTTTTCAATACCGTATTTCTCCAGTCGAGACATTCGCAGGCAATCCTCATTAGGTTTCAATCACGTCAATTATAATGCTATAGAAGATGATCATGTCAGTTACGACCTTGAGTCAACTCCCTCAATAAGCATTAGCATTAAAAAATTAATCAATATTCTGCCGTCTAGAAAAGAAGAAATTTCACTGCGAAAACGAATGGCTGAATTTCAGACACTTTTGTAGACACTTTTCAAACACTTCTGGGAGGAGTTTGTAAACACTTTTGAGACATTAAAATGTGTTTGAATCGATGGAGGTATTTCAATTTCAGGCACCAAGATGTCTGAAATTAAGATACAGACATCAGTTTCAGACACAAGCGATGTTTGAAATTTTCAAACATCAGTTAGATTTTCAGACACTTTTAAAGATTCAGACGTTTTTTGCCATCTGCCAACTTAAATTCAGATGAAAACCAGACACCTAGTTTTTGCAGTGGATAAGTCAACTTTTCCGACATGAGAAATATCTTAAAAATTAATGTTTGAATGGCCTTTGCTGTCTGAATCAGGTGAGATATCTTAATAGTGAAATGTTTGAATCGCTCATAAATAACTGAATTTCAGACACAGAAAATATCTGAAAATAAATACCTGAAATTTTCCAGACACAAAAAATGTTTACCATCATTTTCAGACAGAAACGGTGGTTGAAATTTTCAGACATTAGTCAGATTTTCAGACACTTTTGAAAATTCAGACGTTTTTTACCATCTGACATCTTAAATTCAAATAGCTGTTAGACACCTGGTTTTTGTAGTGTTAGGAAAAATGAATAATCATTAAAGGAGTTCGTCTAAGGTCATGTGTACTGTTACTCTAGAGCAACATGATTGTTATGTTTGAAACCCAGTCAGGCTCATCTAGGAATGACTCAATTGAAGGAATACGATTTTGAACAAATGAATACTTCTCTCAAGAAAGTGAATATTTGGCAAGAATAATGTTTTTCTCAGTGTATAATGAAAATTGCCTGGAAAAAAGGTAACTGGAGAGCGAAATCGTATTCAAATATATATAAAGAATGTTGTTGCTATAACAAATCATCACAAATTATAATTAAAAAATAATCAAATTGCGTACTTTTTCATTGAACATTTACAAATTTTCGATGGAGGGAAAAAAGTTACAATGAGAGGAAATAATTCATGTGAGTCAGATTTAAAGTGGATTTCAAATAAAACCTACGGAAAATGGGAGACGTTGACTTACGATTACGTGAGTTTTTCATAATTTTGATGAAAGTTCGAGAAAATTTTTCTGTGTTTTCAATTAAAATCTATGGAACAGTAAGTCAAAAAAAATTTGACGCAATGACTATTTCAATTTAGTATACGTTACGTATCCTTCAGACAACATAATCATGCCTTGGTAAAATTGATCAATAGCAGAATCATTCAACATTGTATCTATTATGACTGTATTTCTTTTCGGTCGTTGATATTTACTTAAATTTTGAAGATTCTGAAACACAAAAAAATGATGATAACATTTACTTATTAGAACGTGTTCATGGGGTATTCGCATGAGATTTCAATGAGCCAGAAAGGTTCCATGACTATTTAACACAAAAAAAATTCAACACAAATTAAACACGCTCCCGAGTGGAATAATTGGACCTGACAAGTTCTACTTAGGTCTTTCCGTTCAGAACTGGATAGGTCTTGGGAAGCCTCTTCCCAAGTGCTTCCGAGACCTTTCTACCTCTGGTTATGTCCCATTTCAGCACTTGTTAGGTGTAAGCAGGACTTGTATTCAGACTTTCCAAATCCTTGCCGGTCCCCGTAATTCTATGGGCCTATATTAAATCTGCGTTCATATCCCTGTTTACTCATGCGTTATTGAAATAAAAAATGCAATTATTATTTTTTTTTAATCTCGAAAATCGACATTTCACGAGAGGGTGGAGGGGAGATGCATGTATGTGGAGGCTTGACATTTTTACCCAACAAGGGGAGAAGGTTGCAGAATCTATTCTAGCCACTCTTGTCCCTACGCTTGCATGCATTATCCAAATAAAAAATGAAAGTGTTAACAAATCCGACCATTGTTCCAAGTAAAAACTGAAAATCTGACCATGTGGCCCCCGGCGAAATTTTTTTTTTTCAGTTTTCACTTTTTCCACATATTTTTGAGAGTTCTGAATAGCCCGACGCTTAAATAGTTGGAATCAGCGTTCACCCGGCTAAAAAATTCGATTTTGGCGAACAATCCAAGATCTGACACTTTGACCCTTGTGACCCTTGACCGACTTTTCCCCCGGAAAAATCCAAGATCCGACACTTTGGCCTCCGGTGAAAAAATTTTGTTTTCATTTTCCACGTTTTCCACATACTTTTGATAGTTCGGAATAGCCCGTCGCTTAAATAGTTGGAATCAACGTTCACCCGGCTAAAATATTCAAAAAAAGAGGCCAAAGTGGCCTCCGGTGAAAAAATTTTGTTTTCATTTTCCACGTTTTCCACATACTTTTGATAGTTCGGAATAGCCCGTCGCTTAAATAGTTGGAATCAACGTTCACCCGGCTAAAAAATTCGATTTTGGCGAAAATCCATTGGCCCCGGAAAACCCGAACATCTGACCCTTTGGCTGGGGCCAAAAAAAACGGTTTCTCAGTTTTGACTTTTTCNAAACGGTTTCTCAGTTTTCACTTTTCCATATACTTTTGACAGTTCTGACTAGCCCGGCGTTTAAATAGTTGGAATCAACGTTCACCCGGCTAAAAAATTCGATTTTGGCGAAAATCCACTTGCCCCGGAAAACCCGAAAATCTGACCCTTTGGCTGGGGCCAAAAAAAACGGTTTCTCAGTTTTCACTTTTTCCACATACTTTTGACAGTTCTGACTAGCCCGGCGCTTAAATAGTTGGAATCAACGTTCACCCGGCTAAAAAATTCGATTTTGGCGAAAATCCACTTGCCCCGGAAAACTCGAAAATCTGACCCTTTGGCTGGGGCCAATAAAAACGGTATCTCAGTTTTCACTTTTCCATATACTTTTGACAGTTCTGACTAGCCCGGCG